GTGCGTGTGCGCGTGCCTGACTGCGTGCGTGCGTGCTGCGTGCGTGCCTGCTGCGTGCGTGCGTGCGTGCGGGTGTGTGTGTGTGTGTGTGTGTGTGTGTGTGTGTGTGTGTGTGTGTGTGTGTGTGTGTGTGTGTGTGTGTGTGTTTGTGTCTGTGTGTGTGTGTTTGTGTGCGTATGTGTGTGTATGTGTTCTGCTGCAACATGTTGATTGATTTATTTACTTGTTTATTGATTGATTGACTTATTTAATTTATTGCTAAATTAGGTTGTTTGTTTGTTTCTGTCTTTCTGTCTTTCTTTATTTCTTTCTTTATGTCCTTCCTTATTTCGTTATTTCTTTGTTTTTTTGTGTTTGTTCTGCGTTTGTTTGTTTGCTTGCTTGTTTGTTTGCTTGTTTGTCTGCCAGTCTATCTTTTGCTTTTTTTGTGTGGTGAGGGTATACCCTTTTTGTGCTTGGTTTAAAGGGAAACCAGAAGGACAGCCACCGTTTTTGGAGGTCCAGTACCTAATCCCCTTTTTCAAGTTGCTTTGGGAAACCAAAAGAACAACTGACCACCCACCAAAAGGTTAGGTCTGCCCATGTTCACGCATAGCCATTTATGAAGCCTCCGGAGCCCATGGTGGATGTTGTTTGCCCTCTTTGTTTGTTTCTTTCTTTTTTGGGGGGGTGGTTGTTGGGGGGGGGGGGGGAGGTTTTGTTGTGGGGGGGGAGGGGTTGTTGAGGGGGGGAGGGGTTGGGGGAGGGGTTTTTTGTTGGGGGGGAGGTTGTTGAGCGGGGGGGTAGGCCCCATTTTTTCTCCAGCTTTTTGGGCCAATCCCGGATTCTTTGTTTTCTTCGCCCCTCCTGCTGCACCAGGTCGTACATCACCGGGTCCACCTGCTGCAGGGGCCGGTTCCCCGGCAGCTCCGGGCGCGCATTGGCCTTGGTGCCGGTGGTGATGCCCTGGGCGGAGACCATGAACTTGGCGTCTGCCTGGCGATGGCGTCACAGCCACCAAAACCCCACAGCTCGTCCTGGTGTCGAGCGGGGCATCGCCGGGCATTGAGCAATTCTATGGAAGCCGTAGGTGATTTTTGGCTTATGGACAATCCCTGCCCCACACCTCAGGGGGCTGCCCCGCTTTCCACTGTTGGGAGGAGTTCCTCGTTCAGGTGAAAGTCCTGTGCTCCGAAAGAAGCTTCCGAATCGCCGGGGGGGGGGGGTACCCCTGCAAACGAGGAACCCCAAAATGGGCTTAGAAGAGGAATCTAATTCAGGCAATCAGAACCCTTTCTTTTGGTTCCATGCTAATCTGGAAGGCACTAAATCCCTTTCGGTTTGCTTGTTGGGACCCGCGACGCTTTTCCCATTGGGGTACACTGAAAAAGCTTCATGTTCAGATTCTGCTTCATGAGGAGACCCCAGAAAAGGAACGACGCAAGCCTTGAGTCCGACGCCAAAGCTGCGAGACGCATGCCGCTTGCGTTTCTCTTGCCCGCCTCCACCTGGGAGAAGGCTTTGGCCTGGTCCTCGGTGATCTTCCCCAGACCTCGAGACGAGAGCCGGGCAGGTCGGTTCGGTTTGGCGTTGGTACCAGTGGTACATGGAAACCAACAGCACTGAAATCCATTTTTGGGGGTCCAAATTTTGAGAAGCAGACACATACATCCCAGTTGGTGGGCTGATCAAATTAACCGTATGTTTTTTGAGGAGGGGAAGTTCCCCTGACCACCATTGACCTGTGAGCATTCCGAGGAAATCAGGTTGGGTGTTTTTGTTTTCAAGCTTGGTACCCTTTGCAGAACCCATGGAAAACCACTGCTCGCAAGCGGGAATGGATCACTGATTGATCAGGGGATCAACACGTCATGCTGTTTTGTTGGATTCATATGTGGCTTGTTGTTGTTTTTCTATACATGCCTCGCATGTTTCAGCTGTCTGAACTTTGGCCATATCCCATGGTGGGTTTAACCACCATCCATCCGAGGATGAAACAGAGCGGGTTACATTGCCGATGGGGAAGGGGCCATTGCCGATGGGAAAGGACCTCCAAACTGTTCACGAGGAATTATAGTTCCTTGGTACAGAAGTGGAAACCAACCGCTCTGCTTAATCCTTGAGATTGGCGCGGGTTTTCATATGTCACCACGGTCTGTCTCCAAAAGTGCAGTGTAAGTACCTACTTCCAGCTCCATGTTAGCTCCCCAGCTTAGAGGCAGGTTGATTGAATCAATGGCCAGACAATTTGTCCGGACCTTGCAAGTTCCCCTTGGCCGGCAGACCGACCCCTCATTCCTCCAAAACCGGACCAAAACAACCACATCCCTCCTTCTTGGCTTGTCTTGGGGAAACATCAACAACTCTGGGTGCTACTCGTCATGCCCAAACAAAAACCGAAGTCCATCAACCAATTCGGGAACTCCGTCGCGCAGGGGTTGCCATTTGGGGTGTCAAACATGGGGTTCCCATCACGGTTGTCCTTTTGGTTTCCTTTTAAGCAATCTCCAAACAGAAGGTATCCCAAAACAAAATACAGTTCCCCGCACAAATGTACCCAAAAAACGACCCGATGGGAAAAACACACACCAAAAAAGCGACAGGGCGTCGCGGCCAAGGGGCCTTTCAGGATGCCCACGACCACCTTTTCCAGGTTCAGCCTCGGCCGATTAAAAATTCAACCGCCTGCGCCTTGTTTTTGAAAAGGGGCATCCGCCCAAAACAAAGCGGAAGGATATCGACAGTACAGGGATGAGTGTCTTTTCAAACCAAGGAACATCGAAACACAACAAGTGGATATTTACGTGCACCCGTTTGGGCTGGGTGCATTCAAACGCAAATCTGCAAAGATAGTCAAGATAGCAGGAAGCCCTTTACAAGAGAACAACAATTAATAATTATGACAGTGTTGGGTTGGTTTGCTTGGTTAAAGGGACACCTCCACCCTTTAAACAGTAGCAACGCCGGAGTTTGGATTGGCAACTACCGATTGCTGGTTTTTGGGCAGCTGCCCTATCTGCAGATTCTACAATCCTTTCACAACCTGAAAGAAGAGTTGGATCCCCAAGTAGATGACCTTCATAGCGAACTCGCTTTGCTCCAGGTGAGATCGGCAGCTGGTATGAACCCCTTGATGGATTCCACTGGGTCCCGTTTGTTGGGGTACCCTTTTCAGGATGGTTTAAAGAGAGAAGTCATTCGTATGGAGCAAATTCGGGCCCCACCTCCTTCTATGAAAAGGTCGCCAGAGGGGGGGAACCGGGCGGGGAGGTCGTCGCTCGTAAATGTGTGCTAGAAACCCGACAAAACAACACTGCTCCCCACCCCAAGCAACAAATGATGACACCAACCAACTAACCTCTTTTTGCTTGGGTGAAAATCTCAAGGGCGTCCCCCAACGACAACACACACACACACACACACAAACCCAGTTCTGGTCCTTGGAAAAACGGGTCCCGGCAGCTCCGTCCCGCCACCCGCCCGCTGGCAGCTGGCAGCTGGGCGGCGTATAGAAATGGAGGCCGGGGGCTCCGCCCTCCAGCAGAGCCTTGCACAGCACCACCCCCTCCTCGAGACTTGGAGGCGCAGAAGTCGCGGGGAAGGAACGTTGGGAAGAAACAAGAGGACTCTTAAAACCAACACTTGGATTGTTTGGAGAAGGCGCAGAAGGGAATTCTTTCGGATCCTGTGCAAGGCTTTGAAAGAGCACATCGCTTCATTGAGAAGAACTTTGGTTTCGGCTTTGACACGCAACGAACATCTCCGGGCTTCGGCACACGGGACAGCGCTACATAGGCTGCCCGGGACGCAGATATTAGCCGGCAAATGGCATGTGGCAGGTGCGCCCCTGCATTTTGGCAATCACGCAAGGGTATGCAGCATCCTGAGACACTGCGTGCGCAATAGCAGCTTGAATGCTTGCATTCTGCAGAGGAAGTCGGGAAGCTGGCGTTGAAAGGTGGACTACTTAAGACTCCGGCGGAGAACAACGCAACAAGGCCAAGTTCTGGCCCGCTGAAAGAGGCCAGGTTTTCTAACAAGGAACTTCAAATACAGTAAATGGCTCAGAGTGCTTGCTGGCAGGCGCTGCCGATAGGAATCATGGCACAAGAGGGATGCCTTCTGACCCGAAGTTCATCCGTCTATCGGGTGCATGCGTGATTGCGTGCAAGCGTGCGTGCGCGCCCGTGTAGGTTCCGCATTGTGCAATGCCATGAGGAAATTGTGATATGTCAGGCCGGCGTGTGCAATCATGCCTAGAGATTCGTTGCGGCAGAAATTTCTGCCGCAAATCAAAAAAGGCGCCTTTTTGGATTTGCGGCATTTCTTCCTGATTTGCGGCGTTTTTTTAGAATTGCGGCAGAACTTGTTTTTAGTTTTTTCTACCCCCCGATTTGCGGCGGAAATCGGCGGGAATGCGGCGGAAATCGGCGGGAATGCGGCGGAAATTCCCGGAAAGCAAACGGTGTTGCGGCGTTTTTGTTTTGGTTGCGGCGTTTTTTGGGTTTGCGGCTGATTTTCTGGAATGCGGCGGGAATTTCCGCCGCAATGCGTTGCGGCAGAAATTTCCGCCGCAGGAAGTTCTAGGTGTAGCAGACTGCGCCAGTTTGATTGCTCGCAGGTGCTCCGTCTCACTATGTAGGCTGTTTGGCTTGTGCATTGGTGTGTGATTACTTGGTTTTTATAATGCAAATGCACTCTATGATGCAAAACCTGCCCCCTCATTCACTCGATGTTTTTCAGTTGGGCCTTGCACCCCGCAGGTCTGAAAACAAGCCAACCATGGCAGCAGTGCAGGGGCAAGGGGCGGATGATCTCTATTTTCGGGCGAGTGGATCAAACACTTGGCCAATCAGGTCTACGGTACACGTAGAGAGGTCCAACTTGAGTCGGCCAAAGGCAAACTGAAACAGGTCAGGGATTGGCCCAACGCTCGGAATCTGCAAAGGATGGGTGATTCTTAGGGAAGCCGCAAAATGGTGGTTGTGAGGTTGGTTCCCCTTAAACCCCACCAACAAACACAGGCACCCCAACAAAAGACACATCCACATGTCCAACGCCTGAACTGAGTGCATTGGATCCTGGGTAACTCGCACCTTCACGGAGTTCGCTCGTGATAAACCCCATGAACTCGTAACTTGTGCATAGCCCTACGGAGGATGGCACGATTCAAAGTAGGGGGTTAAGGGAAACATGTTTGTGGTTGGGAAATCGACTGCAAACAACTCCCAATGATATCAGGGCTTAAAACACAGCTGTGCTCACTTGAGAAGATTGGCTAAACAAGTCTCAACTTTTTCTGTACCCCGAAAAAATGGTCGAAACCCAAAAAGCTTCAAGCCCAGGAACTCAGGAAGTGAGATAGGTGTTCTTGCTTCCCTGTACCGCCTAGAATGGCCAATAGGAATCTCTTTGACGCCGCTCCCATATGAGTCCGACTCAAAACTTGGCACTCAAATGGTCGTAATCCCAGAACCATGTAAAGACTTCACAAGGCAGATATCCGCACCCATCCCTAACCTCCATTTACCCGGGTTTTCACAAGGCAGATATCCGCACCCATCCCTAACCTCCATTTACCCGGGTTTTGAGCAAGTGGCTCCTGCCCTCAGATTCCCCCGCTAAAAGTGACTCACTGTTCGCGGGCTAAATGGGGTCTCTACCACTAAACACTCAAAGGATCTAAAATTCCAAGGAACCGGATGGCTGGAAATGAGCCACCATCATACCGGCTCATCCCCGGAGTCTCCATGACCCTTTAAAACATGGGTCCATGACCCCTTTTATTTTGGGTACTGACCCCAAGTTTTCTTTGGGCCATCGAGACTCCAGGTACCCACCAACGACTTCCTCCGCCCGAACCCGCTCTCCTGGATGCCGAACTGCTTGAAGGCCTCGTCCGAGGTGTTGGCCTTCTCCGCGCGCTCCATCAGACCCGCCGGCACCCGGGTCTTGCCTCAGATCACAGACGAAGCCCGATGGAACATCCACACCCTTGTCTTCCATTTGGTTCAAACCCTGGAAAAAACTAAAAAAACATGGCCAGTAGTGATAGATTCCCTTTAAAACCAACAGGGAAAAATATTCTTAAGCAAATGGAAGTTGCTACACACAAAATCAAAATAGCAAGCATCTTCTTAAAGCAAATGGAAGTTGCTACACACAAAATGGAACAGGCGTTGAATGAAGGATAGCATGATTGCACTTCTCATCCAGACGTCACGACTTTTCTCAATCCACAAAAATCCGGGCCCAGGTGTCGGTGGTGTCAAAAGAAAAACCAACACTCAGGACCCAAAAGTAGCTTTGAGAACGGGTCCCTCAAAAATGGAATCAGCCACTTGAAGGGACCCGGTGCCTGTCCGATGTTCGTTTGGGTGCTTGGGCTTCATTCCTACACCCAGATGCCGCAATGATAAGTTCTCTGGTTGAATGACCGTTGCCACAATTTAACATAATGTTTTCTTTTCTTCCACGTGCGCTGTTTGATGCCGCAAACCAACAGGCAAGAACAAACGAGCCACAACACACTATAGCCACTTTCCCCCGAAAAGAATATAAACACATAAACAAGAACATCTTGTTTCAATGAGTGTCCCTTTCCAAGCCTCTTGCGGTGTGTGGTGCCACCAGAGAACATACGGAACAACAACAATGCTTACCAACCACAATCATGTCCCTTTTCGGGGGAGAAACCATATCTGACGCAAATCAACATTTCACAGTCATGCTAAAGAACCAGAACAGAACTGGGTGCGTTTAAACCAAATGTAGTTCTGATTATAGGAGAAAACTATTCATAATTATTTCGGCCCTTTTACTAAAGGAAAACAGATGTCGCGCCCAGTGGATTTCTAGGGTGACATTTGCTTTGGGCAACCCACCCACAACAAATTTGCAGGATTTGGAATCCAAGCCAAATCCGAAAAAAAGAAAGCCGGTGCAAGCCCAGCCCTTCTTTCGGACCAAAACATTGAGAATCCTACGAGAACTTACCAGTGGTCGAGTGTTGTTTCCTGTGAATATGCCGGATTTCTGGCCTTAAGTGGTCAATATGTCCAGTGGTTATTTAGGCAAAACGCATTTCAAAAGCCCGGAAACACGAAACCGCCGCGTGCGTCGTACCCCCAAATCGGTAAGCCGTTCATCCACCAGCCATAGGATGGGTGGCTTGTATTGAAGGGGAGCCCAGGGTTCCTTGTCCCCCACGCGGACTCAATCTAGATGACCATCCTTAAACAGTGATTATCTTTAAACAGTGATGGTCATATTAACCCAACCATTCTTTTAATGGTGGTTTGAACCCCAGGGAGAACCCCATTCTCTTCCCTTTTTGTTGAACTGGAGGGGGAGGTGAGAAGTTAAGTATGTATAGCCCTGGCCCTGAGAAAGCACATTCTTGTAGATGGCGAGCTTCTTCCAACCTAAGAACCACTTTGGCTGACCCCAAAATGGTTCCTAACAAATGGGTTCTAGGATGCTACACCCATGATTGTCTTTCGGTGCATCCTATTCTTCCATTTGTGCTGCCAGGCGGCAGAGCTCAGTCATCCGCACCAGGCCGCCGTAGGTGTTCAGGCACATGATGCCCGGCACAATCGGCACCTTGAGAAAATAAACCCCGGCGGAAAATCCCAAAACCGAGGTTGTCTCTGGCGACCAACCGTTTTTTGTTTTTTTTGTTTCTTTTGGTTTGGGGGGTGGGCAATCGTAATGGTTCAGCAGCCAAACGTCAAGCATTTCGAACAATCACACCTAGTCGCGGGGGGGTTGGGAATGCACGGTTCTCACTCCTTTTGTGGAGTTGTTCACGGGATAAACCAGAGGACAACACACACCCAAACTTTCGACTACCTGAATGGGAAATCCATTTTCTTGTGGGGAGGCCTTGGTGGGCACGATTTCTTTTTCGGGTGCTCCCAATGCAACTCATAGCCAAATGAAAGTTGCCCGCCGGTTTCAAGTCTAAAGGAAAAAGGTAAGACAAACAGCAAGACAAAGGTCCAATGACCCCGCAGGCATGCAGATAAGTTCAGGGTGTTTCCCTATGACAATTGATTCATAGAAAGGGACGCCCAAACGAATCCAGGGGCTGATCAATGCTGGGTTTCCACCCAAAAATTAACAACCTGTGACACAGAAACTAACTCATCTTACAGCAACAGGGAGAAAATAGGCACTCCACACATCAGAAGCAACTCTGGGAAGGCATTGGCCATCTGAAGGTTCAGCACTTTGGTTTGGTAACCTCAGAATGGGTTGGTCACCGGTCGGTCACTTGCCTACTTCACTGGAAACGGGGGAAAGCACTGAAAACTGGAAGGGCCAAGGCAAATCCGACCGTGCTGAGGGAACAAAGCAAGGTAGTGTCCATTGGTTAGGGGGTTTGAAGCCTCGCAAACAAACTTGGGGCACATCATTGCCTCTGTAAATGGGCTCGAACAGCTAGGCTCCCTTCTGATGCTACACACGTGATGGTCTTTTGGTGCACGCCATCGGATGTCGCTGAAAATCAAACCTGTCTATCACGGGGCCCCTGACATGAGCCGGTGCAAATACACCCCTGCAAATTAACATGGAACCCGAAAAAAGAGAGCAACTTTGAGAGGAAACTCCTTTTGCTGGACCATGCACCCCTCCAACAGATATTTGTGTTTTCACTTTCAGTTTCCCACAAGTTCACCCTATCGGTGCCTCACAAAAAAAAAAAAAACAAAAAAACACACACACACACAGCCGCGATACTTTACGCCAAGGCCACAAAATGGCATGAAACATAAAACTCAGTTTCGCAAAGGGCATAAAATTAACGGTGAACACTTTTTGGGGCAACGACTGAAAGTGAAACGAAAGGGGAAAGCAAAAGGTCAAAAGGTCGGGTTTGGGCAAGAGATCAACAAAAAAGAAACACATTCCCCCTTCTGTTCTTGTTCACTCCTCATTTGGCTCCTTGAAATTTCTTCGCCTTTTCGGGGGTTCCTTTGGGCCGTCTGCCCCCCGAGCGCCTTGATGTCGTACTTGAGGCACTCCTTCTGGAAGTCCAGGAAGACCTCAGGGTCCAGAAACATCTGGGTGATCACGAACTCCGCCCCGGCGTCCACCTTCTCCTTGAGGTACACCATCTCCTCACGCCCTATGAAGTTCCGCAAGGGGGTCACACAGGGAGGGAACTGCTTCGCTTAGAGACTAAAAACCTGCAAAATGATCCAGCAAACAAAGCCAACTCATGATGAGCTGCTAACCACCTGAAAAGAGCGGTTGGTGGATATAAATCCCCACCTAAGTGATGTGCAAAGGGTCCCCTGCAGAAAACCACACCAATGTGCGAACAAATCCAGCTTTGAGGAAGCTGCTTGTAGCAGTCTCCCAGAAGTCGACGAGTCAACTGGCAGACCTGACACTGAAATGGGTAGCTTGCGGTCCTTGTGGAAGTTGGCGTCCTTGCACACGGTGATCACCTCAGCGAGCTCATTTCCCATTTCCACCGGGCAAACTCACCACCCGGTGCTTTCAGTGCAGCAAGCAGAAAGCAAACCTGCCATGGTAAACCCTGGTAGGTTACCCGCTACTGCAGTGGATGGACAAAAATTGCTTTGCACCAGTTGGGATGGATGCCTCCCTGTCAATAGTTGGATAGACTGACGGCACATCGAATTGAAGTGCTTCCCCACAGATTCACATGGAACCGAAAAAACACAATGTGTAGAGGAAACTCCTTTTGGGGGACCCCCCTCGTGTGAGTTCCATGTTGATTTGTGGGGGAGTACTTGGTGGGAAGACTCCTTGGAGCTAGTCACCCAGAATGTGCAAAGAAAAAAAAAACAAGTGATTTGCGAAAGAGCTCCCCCTCCATGTGCCAACTTGACCATCGACTGAATATACCATTGATTGGTAAAAACAGAGCTGGCGCGTTCAGTGCCAGTGCAGTGGCCACGAAACAAAAAAACAACAACATCCGTCTTTGGGGAAGCAACGTGGAACGGCCTCTGGACCATGATGCATCCGATTTCCCTGGGCCCAGCGGCCCCAGATTCCTTGGAACTCCAAAGACTTGGAAATCCCATGGTGGGTCGGTCTCTCTAAAAAAACAACAGGATGGCTTGATTCTTTTTTATATGCAACCCCCAAAAAAAGAAGGTTTAACCAACCATCTGGAGGAATCGGTCCCTAAGTTTGAGCAACACCCAGGTAACCCACGAGACCTTGAGCTCCGTCCATCCATTCCATTTGGCTAAGACCCCCGGAAAAAAAGGAAGAAACAAAAACATATTTCCAGTAGTGATCAAATCCTTTTAAAACCAACAAGGGGAAATACATAATTACAACAAACAACAACAACATATTCTTGAGCAAATGGAAGATCTGCGAAGGCGATTCGACCGGCTCGACGACTCGGGTCGCCTCCTTGCCCTCGGATTTCGCGATCCGCGCGCGGCGCTTCTCGGAGGCCGTGAGGGAGTCGAAGCTGGGCACTTCCTCGATGTTGTCCGGGTGGCCCTCCGGGTATCCTGACGCAACAAGAACCTCATGGATGGCTCGGAGAGATTTGGCTGTGCTCAAAACCGTTAAACGGGATCCCATTTTGGGGGATTGGTGAATTCGCCGCCCGTTTTAGAACCTTTTTTAGTGGGGATTGGGATGTTCACTGGGGGTACGGGATTTTGACCCATGGCCATGCCTCTTGCAGGCTCCTTTTTGGAGTGAGTATCCTGTGTGCACAACTCCATGGATGGCTCATGATTTGTTTTCAGGATCTTGTTTGGAGTTGGCTCCAAAAGGAAACCTTTGAAAGGAAAACCACTGGTTTGGGGGGGGGCATTCTAAGAAAAGACACGCCCAACGTGAGGGTAATCGAGTCGGGCATGTTAGAGGATGTTCAAACACTTGAAACAGGGTCCCATGGATTTGTCTCAAAGCAGGATATAGACCGTGAGTCGGGCTATGCTTTGAGTCGCCTCTAAAACCAGCCCGTAGCCTTCAACAAAGACACACCCCGATTTTCCCAAGTCAAGGCTCGCCCCACTGCCAGAAGCAGCCTTCCGTTGCCCGAGTCGCAACTTTGGCGGATCAACCGAAACACCCAACCTCCTGATTGTGGAAAAAACGTTTGCCTCTCCTGTGATACCAGACTGGGACTCCCAGCCATATGAGCGGTTGGCTGTTTCACCCTTTGGGCTTTTGCCAGGCTTCCGCCAGGCTTCCGCGGGGTTCAGAACGACGCTCGTATTAACTCGATGTCACTTCGCCGGGAGCCCAACGGTGTCATGTAAATGGGTTCTGAGATCCGAGACCTACGCTGTCATAAGAGCCTTACTTGGAAACCCAGAACTGTGAGGGAAATGATGAACCAAATGAAGCTGATAAAAACAACGCACAGTCTGAATCATGATCATCCAAAACCAAGTTCACTTAACCACAATGTGTCATTAGCCGAACCTAAACCAAGGCTGGACGAATACCAAAAACACTACGCCAATCCAAAGCCAGTGCCCACTGTGTTGGTTTTGGCCGAACATTTCCCCGTTGCCAAAAGCAACCTCCGCAGCCCAAACTGCAGATCTCCTGCCACGGAGATAGAGAAGTAGTCCTCGCGTAACGTTGGGAGCGTTGGCATGACCAAACATGCAAATGTTGACTTTCAAAACGCAACAAAATCAGGAAACACGTGTGATTTACCGGTTGTCTAACATGTACGGCTGGAAAAACGGTCCAAAACACAACCACAACCTCATGCATCTCGATGGTCTCCCGGTGGTTCTTGATTCGTTTTGAAAACATTCATTCCCACACAACCCAGCCCCCAAAAAGGGACCAAATGCGGGGAGACTTCTGCTCCCCTGGTGGTTCCTTCTGTTGTGTGAGTGAACCCTTGGGTTGGCTTCAAGGGAAACCATTCGGAAAACCAACATTTTTTGCGGATCCGTATCCTTTGCTTTTCCTGGTGGTTCTTCCTGTTCTCTGAACCTGCAGTATTCCAACTTAAACCCAAGCAACCAACCAACCAACCGACCAAAAAACGCATCAAATGGAACACACACCTGCTCCCTTGCTGGTGGTTCACCTAAAAACAAACACCCTTTCGCACGCTTTTGGCAAGCATTTTCGCAAATGTGTTGTTTTTGGTGTTTGGTACCAAAAAAATGGGGGCCGGAAAAACGAAAAAAGGTCCGCTGGGTCTTTTGGGAAACTTTCAAATCTGGGTCCATGTGCTATTTTTGGTCTTTGGTACCCCAACAAAAAGGGTTGCTGGTTCTTACTACCCAAAAAAACGGGGGCCGTTAAAAAAAAAAGTCTGCCGGGTCTCCTGGTGGTTCTTCCGGATGAAGTGCACCAAGTCCAGGGCGCTGCTGAAGCCGCCCTCCGTGGCCGTCCACTTCTCCTGGCCCCGGGGGGGATCTCCGCGCAGCGCCACGATGTTCCGCACGCCGTGGGCCTTGCAGTCCTGGAGAAACCGGTCAAAGGCGAAACGGGGGGGCCAAAGGCCGAAAACGGGGCGGGTTTGGGAGGAGTGGGGAAAAAACATGGGGATTTTGGTAAATCATGGGGATTTGGGGAGGGGAGTTGGTGAAACATGGGGATTTTTTGTAAATCATGGGGATTTGGGGAGGGAAGTTGGGAAAACATTGGGGATTTGGGGTGGGTTTGTGAGGGGTGTTGAGTGCAAAACGAGAGGTAAACGGAAGGAGGCGGTTTTGGGGTCGCGGGGGGGTAAACGGAACGAGGCAGTTTTGGGATGGGCAAACATGGTTTTTGGGTGGGGTGGGGTTGTTTTGTTGGCTCGGACCGGAAGTGGGTGAGGGGGTTTTGGGTGGATTTGGGGTTTGATTTTGGTGGTTTGGCTTTGGTCTAGGTGTGGTCTGCTTCGGTCTAGCCCCTTGAGTTTGGTTTGGAGGTGTGCGAAGCGAGTCGAGTGAGCGCAAGGAAGATTGGCTGGCAGTTGACTTAAGGTCCATCGCAAAGACTAGGAATTGGCATGCCGCTGCCGAACAAGCTGCCAGAAGAGGGTGTTTCTCGGACTGGGGGTCTCGAAGGAGTTTGGCTGTTTCTTTCCTGCTGAGTAGGTTTCACCTTGACGCAAGCTCTGGACCCTGGCCGAAGGCCCGTGGGTTGCTTGATTGTTGGTGGTTTTCATGTGGTTTGGCTTAAGGAGGTTGCGAACCAAGGGGCAGTTGCTTTCTCTTCTTTCGAGTCGAAAGTTCCTAAGTTGTACTGACTAATCAAAGGGCACCAATCTCAACTCTTCGGGTGTGGTTTTGCGTGCCCTTTGACAGCAAATCAGTCACCAGCTAGGTGCAGCCAGGGTTGGACCGTAGGTTTCAACACAAGAAGCTTCCTGTTGGTCCCGAGTCTCCCAAAAGGGGTCCATTTGAACTTCCCCGGAAAGCCGGATTGGCTGGGTGATTTGGAAAATGGAACCCCAACCGTTTAGGCCTCGATTACCGCTGCCAATAAGGCTTGCGAAGTTCATAATCCTTGAGTCTGTGGGGGATAGGGGTCGGCTCCCTGCAACGAAACAACTCTGACATACAGTACCCTTTACGTCCAAAAACGTATGTCCACCTATCCCAGTGAGCATGGCGAAACTTGAGTGTCCGGCGATTAAAAGGGAAACCGCCCGTTTCTTTGGTCTGCAAATCCAATTTGTTGGTGTCTTTTGTTCGGGGAACCCCCAAAATGGTGGTTGTCCTGTTGGCTTCCCTTCAAAACCATATATAAAGACGGGCCACCCATTTTGACATGGACATCGACCAGTGGGAGTCGTCTCGACATGAAAATAGCTGCGGCTTGGGTCGAAGGTCCTTCAGGGCATTCCCGGTCATCTCCGAGCTCTGATTCGTGCAGGTGAGGTGCATGTTGGCCACACCTCGCTGGGAACCGCACGTCCTGTTTGGTGGTCGACTTTCCAACCCTTCATATGGTAGCACAAAACCGTGTTTTGGTCTGCAGCCCCTTGCTTAACATGAACAGAACCAAACAAACAACAAAAACAAGCTAACAACTCGCCAACAACAGAAGTTGAGTTCCCCGCGCCTTGCCAGGGTTCAAGAACAAAACCACCGAAGCCGAAAGGACACCCATGTTTGGGTTGCAACCGCTTTTGGCAGGTGTTGCAGGAAAAAACCACGCTTTGGTGCACTCCAAATACTAAGTTGAAGCTAATACTAAAGCTATGAATGGGTTCTGTCAACTAGAGCGAGCTAACAGCAGTCTTTCAATATAAAAACCCCACATGGGCTGGATGGACTTCCTTCCTGCAAAAAGTGATTTGATTGCTGCCACTAGGCTGACCAACCTTTAAAAGGCGAGAAAGCAAAGGGCATTCCCGGTCGCACCAAAGAATGAGCTACCCAAACACCCATGGAAAGTAACATGCCTTCGCGCAACACAACTCTTGCTGGTGGCAGAGTGTTGCAACACGGAAGCAGTACGAACAACACAGGTTGGGATTGTTTGCCACCAGAAACAAAATCAAAGGGCACTGTACTCAAGGGACCTGCGTTAGCTTGGTGCGTGCCCCTTGACCACTTGGGATCCAAGTCCCGTTTAGGAACATCTCAACCCGTCGAGAGACCACAAACGAACCAACGGAAACCTATGCAAGAAGAGCAAACAACTCCAAACCTGGCTTCGCGGCTTAAGCCCTAAACCAAACAAACCTGCACAAGAAAACGTGAAAATCCAAACAATTCAGTTTCCTCCAAAATTATGGTCTCCAGGGTTCTTGCAAGGGTTTCCCCTTCGTCGCAAAAATGCCAAAGCCTTTTGGAGAAAGGGCTGTGTGGCCGGCGCCCTGTGTCACCATCCCAAACCTGAACCAAGAACCAAACCAAAGCCAAACCCTAAACGCCTAAACTAAAGCCTAAACCAAAGCTACACCCTAAACCCAAGCTAAACCCTAAACCTAAACTAAAGCCTAAACAAGGACCAAACCATCACAGGCCTAGGAAGCCACGATCAAACCTACACCAAACCACTTGCAAGGTGGTTCCAGCTCGTACAATGTATGGTCACTGGGACCTAAATCGGAGCCCGGGCCAAAAAGAAAAGAACCATCACACTGTTCCGGGGCCGCCTCCGGCTCTTGATGCAAGGGGCGTGCCAAAGGGGCTAGTTTTGTAGACCCCCCCCCCAATTTGGACAGGCACTAAACCCCCAAACTCCCCCCTTGCCCCCCCCCGCCAAAAAAAAAAAACGGCGAAAACAAAGGGCGAGAACAAAACCATCCATTGCCTGAAAACAACATACTGCCTGTAGTGGTGGATCCGCTTTGAAACCAACAGGCAACAACAATCAGCATTCTGAAACGCACATGGAAAGCAGATGGAACAAGCCACATTCCCCCCCCCCCCCGCCCCCACAAAAACAAGAACAATAACAAAGGGGAACAAAAAACAACTCGCAATCCCTCCCCCCAAGACAGAAAGACAAAACCAAAAAACCTTCTCGATCTCCCCCCTTATTTTGGGGGGCGGGCGGACAAAGAAACAACAAAGACAGAAGAAGACAGAGAAAAAAAACAGAAAAACACGTCTGGTTTGACGCCTTTTTACCTTCGCTCGCGCGCCGGCTCGACCGGGGCGCAGCCGAACTCGTTCTTCGCTGCGGAGGTGAGCTTCAGCGTGAGCTCGGAGGTGGAGCCGCCGGCGCCCCAGGTGAAGTCCGTGAAGAGGGGGCCCAAGGCCTGGCGCGAAAAAGGCGGCGGATTGAGGCGGTCGGAAAGCGGCGGAGTCAGAGGGGGGGTTGGGGGCTGAAAGCTGAAGCCATGTGGCTGTTGTCAAAAGCCCATGGTTATGCAGTGAACATCCCAATCCAAGCACTATTGGTTCTAAAATGGGTGGTGAATTCACATCCCCAAAATGGTACCAGCTTTGAACCATGGCCATGTCTGAGATCGTGGTTTTTCGTGTGGTGCTTCTTCGGTGCTATGGATGTGCGTTCTTTCGTGTGGCTGGACATTTATTTGGGGCTTCGGTTGAAGAGGAACATGGGGGCCCCCTACTGTGTTTCTGTGCTTGGTTGGTGTTTTCACAGATTTTGCGGATTCCGCTTGCTTTCCTTTTGAAACAACTAAACAAAATACCCTCAACAACCACATGCACCCAGTTGTTTGGTGGGTTCGAGCCACGCTCAAAATGTGTTCCGCCCACCAAACAAAGGTTTCAATCCCATCTAGAAACTATTGTAAACATTTTTGTAGAGAAGTCAATATGGGACTTCGGCGTTTGGTATTCGACCTCATACCTTGTGGCCGTGGGTCAACACCAATGGTACCATTTTGGGGTAGGTGCACCACCCATTCTAGTCTATTTTAGTGGGGATTGGGATGTTCACTGGGGTTTTGACCCATGGCCATGTACTCTATGGCTCGCACAATTTCCAAGGACACTTGCATTGTCACTGCACGCGTACCAGCCGAGACAAGCCTGGACAGCAAACATGACGGACCCCGTTTCAGAAATTGCCACCACGATTCACTGATTGACAGGTTGTCTGAGTGACTGATTGACTGATTTGACTGATTGTCTGATTGATTGATTGATTGGTTGATTGATTGATTGATTGATTGATTGATTGGTTGGTTGGTTGGTTGGTTGGTTGACTGACGAATTGGTAGGTCGATTGACTGATTGATTAATTGCTTGGTTGCTTGCTTGGTTGACCATCGTGATTTGTCCCTTCTCGGCATGGCCAGCTTGCCAGTTGCCGCCTTCATCTTCACAATGCGCTTCCTCAGGTTCTCCACTCCCTCCGGGGTCTTGGGGGGGAAGTACTCGAAGGAGAACCTCGACTCGAGACACCCCCGAGTGCGATGGCACGCTGGTGTAGTGGAATAATCAAGCCGCAACAAAATGAAGCAAAACCAAGCGAGTTCGGTGTTTGCTGAGTAAATGATGAAAACTGAAAGAAGCCTTCAAAACTTGGATGTGGCTCAGAATTTAAGAGCTAGGGTTACGCAGGTGTTGGTCTTAGGTTCCATTTGCCAAGGGCCATTTTGGGTACATTTTTTGGAGCCACAGCGACTTGGCAAACAAACACTAGGCTGTCCTCACATCCCCCGCTAAAAGTTTAACTTTTAGTGGGCTGGATGGAAAACCCCACTAAACACATCAAAGCTAAAAGGCCAAGGAATTGGACGGCTGGGAGCCAACAAACCGTGGACCAATCGTCAAACTAGGGCAAATGATGGCAAGTGGTGAAAGTCAAGCGTCAAGCCCTTTGCGGGTGGTTTCCCATGCCCATCCCATGTTTGCCGGACCTTTTGATCAACCCCCCAACTGGCAAAGATCTTCAACAGAGTTTTGTGCCTTATTGCTCCGGGTCTTTCTGTTGAATTTGTCGCACAGCTGATCAACATCGAGGAAGTACTGCTCATGTCAGACTGCCAAGTCGAGCCATGGAACCACCCGGGAGGCAGCTGCGCCACCAACTCCGAGATCTTCTTGTCATCTGCCACCGCCATGCTTTACAGCCTCAACCAACGGCCCGGGCCCCGTGGGTTTTTTTGAGCCTACCCGTTTTGGGTTGACCAAAATCAACAGGGACACCCGGGGCCCGATTTTTGTTGAGGCTATTCGTTTTGGGTTGACCAAAAAGTCACAAAAGGAAAAACCTACCGGTAAAAAGGGGCACCCCTCATTTTTACAAAATGTTTTTGAGGCTACCTTTTTTTAGGTTGCCACGATTCAAAGGGACAACAAATATGACAACCTCATTGCCACCCATTTGCCCAGTCAAAAGGAGGAATGTGGGTTGGTTTCAAAGCAAACCAAGACTCAACAAAACCCAGTTTGAAAGTACCCCCTATTTGACACATACCCAGTGCCACCTTTCAAAGGGGTCCAAAAAAAACATCAAGCTTCTTCCCACCCATCCCGATTTGAGGAACATCCTGTGAAATGTTTGCATCTCACTCAACACAGTGAGTAACACATATGACGTCGCTACATCGAAAGCATCAATCTGAAATCAAGGGGATCCCCCTTGACTTCGCCGTAGAAACTTGGCCAAAGGAAACTCGAAACCTGAGTTTCAACTCCCCAGCTTCAGCCAGCGCACAGAAAAGGAAACCCACACCCTACGGAAATCCAAGCCGACCAAAAGCAAACAGCCAAAAGCTGTGCGAAGCTGAGCAGCAAGGGATACGCTGGGCAGAGGTGCACAAAGGGAGTCGAAGACTTCGAGGCTGAAATGGCCGCAAGTCGCCGCCAGGTTTCGTCACGCTCGAAAGGGGTCGCAATGTGTAACAATGTGTGACCGACAGACCGAGCAATGCTGCCGATTGAATTTGTGTCAACATAATGATTTGGGTGCGTCTCTTTTTGAAGGTATGGTACCCCTTTGTGGGATGGCTTGAAAGGGAAACCCAAACACTTCGATTCTGGTGTGTCCGAGTCCTAAACACGACAGACCCATTTAACCTCTGTTGTTCTGTTGGTTTTTCTCTACGATCCCAAAAAACAGTCCCCTGCAGCATGCTCCCATCCTGTCTGTCAAATCGGCCCTTGAAGACATCCAAATTACGAATGCTGTGGGAAACAAACACATACTTGTTGACTGGCTGGTTTTATCTACCTCGGCAAACTAAATCAATGTCTAGATTCCGGCACCATATTCACTGAGCTTCAAAATGATACATAATGTCGGCTAAAGTACCAAGAAAAACGATATTAATCCAACAAGCGCAAAAAAGGTGCCTGTCAACCCAGAATTAATCAACCTTGCCACCTGGAATCAATAAGAGAGGTTACCCCAAAACTGAAGAATCCTCGCTTGATGCGGAGATTCGGACATCCATGGGCAGACTATTAGTGCTGGTTGCCACTGGAATACAGGGCAACCTGCGGCAACCCTTTCAATGATACGTCAACAAATCAGCTGCTGTACAAGGCACTCTCCAAATTTGGTGCTAAAAAAGGTAGTTGTTTAACTGGCCAAAAGGTGTCTTCTTTTTGTTTTAGTGAGGCTTCGATATGGATTGCGCCAAACCGCACACCAGCGCGGGTGCGCAAACAAAAAACCTAAACGAAGATCCAAGGAGTCGCAAAATCTTGTGGGGGGAATGCAAGTTGGGAAGCCAAAGGAGAAGTGTTCCCTCATGCAACTGAGCTCTTGCAGGCTCAGGGGTTAAACATGACGGTATGCGAACAAATGCAAGGGGCAAAGCAGTCTGGGAATAGGTACTTACTTCCAAAAAACAAATCAGAGAATCAGATACTCTAACATCATACCAAGAAGAAGCTCCATAAGAAGAACTTTTCTAACGCCTTTGGGATTTCGTTCAAAGACCGCCCGCGAGCGGGTCCCTTGCATGCCCGCAAGTACACGATGTCTTTCTTCCACCTTCAGGGCTAGGTGTGGGGTGCCTCAGTTCCATTCGAGTCTTCCAGAGAAAATGAGACAAAGATCATTCCAGGGGTCACATGCTGCTGGAACATACATGTAAATATATACATTTCTGATCAAGTAGAATTCCAATCCAATGACTAGACTTGAAAGGGGATTTCTCTTGGTGGCACAGCATGTTGCGTAAGGATTTCTGGACACAAACGGGTGCACTTTTCCTGAGGCTACCGGGGTGGCGAAACAAGGGAAGCCCCAACAAGGCAAAGCCATTGGGTCCGAGTCCGAAGCTATTCGAAGTGCAGTAGACTTTCCATGCTGCCATGTCCTTACTGGTAACTCCTTAGCTCCCTCGATACCCCCAGCTCCTTAGCTCCCTTTCCAATCACTATGGGATTCTGGCCAGGCGCGATATCCACGCCCAGCTTCAAGGGCTGTTGATTCCAGGCGGTGGCGAAGGTGTTGTCCGCGCAGATCAGGATCTCTTTGCCGTCCTGGCACCAGGCCTTGGGGATAATTTCTTGAACCAACCCGCGGAGTCTGTGCGAGGTTTTGGTTGAAAAAAGCAGACCCTGGCTGTTGCAGCTCGAGGACCCAGCTTGCCTTCCTAGCAGGTGACTTCGCGAAATTTTGGTGCGGATCTACGGGCGCGACGAGGAGTTTTCACCCTGGGGCCCTGTAAATTTGCTGAAGCAATATTTTCTCTACGCAGCGCATCCGGTTACCACTTAGCATGACACCAGGGAAAATGTCATGTAAAACCTAAAGTGAAATACCCCGGTTGCCTACTATGGTGGTAGCCGGAAGAACCAGGCAAAAGACCATCCGATAAAGGAAACTCGCTTGAACATGGCAACCAAAAGCTGATGTTTAAATAAGCCGAAAGAGGGGTACCCAGTCGCAACCAGGTGTTAAACTTACGGCATTTTCAGGTTTAGACAGATGGAGGCTGACATGCCGATGCAACCGCCTTTAAGGCGCTATCCGTATCTTTAATATATATGGTATATCACCTCCACACCTTCGGAACCCGTAACCCACACCTGAAACTCTCCACGTAGCAAACAAACAATGAAAGTGGACAAGCGATTGGAAGACCATTCTATTGAAACGGGCGTTTGTCTTGTCCACGTTCATGATAAAGAGGGCAACCAACCAATCAGGCTCAGGGTTCAACCAAATGAACAGATGTGAAAAAAACAACAACAACACAAAACAAGTTCAAGGTCCAACCAGCGAGAAAGTCATGTGTTTCTGTGTTCCGTGTGCGTGTGTGTCATGCCACCGGTCCTCATGGGTTTTGTCAGCTCCAGCAACCTCTTGTATTTCAAGTCACTGGGATCCGTTTTCGGCGAAAAAGGAAAGTCAAGGGACCCATACAAGACTTCCAATCTTCAGCTTCTGATTTGGTGGCTCTGATTGGGGGGCTTCCGAAGTTGGAAGCCAGCGGAACAGCTCCAAAGGGCCGGGCTCTTCTCGCAACTTACTCGTGGATTCTATAGACACCATTGCCACTGTTGGAGGTTCCCTTGGAAGGAGAAATGGAGGTTTCACTTTTGGAGGCTCACTTGAAAATGGAGGAAACCTCTTCAATATGGATGTGTCTGCTTTGAAGCTTGAACCCCTCCCCAAAATCCAACAAAAAAATGACAGTTCCCCTTTTCCATTTAACAGCACCCAAAAGGAGGAGGGGCCCACATCCTTCTGCTGTGAAGATGTTCTGTCATTGGGGGGGCATCGTCCTGGCTCCGGGAGAGATTTGGACCCTCAAACCTGGGCTTCGTGTCTTGGGACTTTAGACCAACCTAGAGGGTGCCCTCAAAGAAACAAGCCCATGGCCCATGTGTTGAGGGGGGTAAAGGGAAACTGAAGAGCAACCCGCAATGTTCGGGGCGCCGAGAAACCTGAAAATAAAAGCTCGACCTTTTGGAACCTCCAAAAAAATGCCAAAAGTGGATTATTATCATTTTTTAGTTATCAGATTGAACCGGGCGATTCGCCTAGAACTTCCCCTCGACGCCGGCGAGCCCCGCCCCGGAGGAAAGCGATGCTCCTTGTGTCCACGGACCGCCTCCACGAGTCTGGGGAGATCCACCAGCGTCAGCAGGGGATTCGTGGGACTCTCGACCTGGGGAGGCAAGGCTTGGGATCTTTCGGCGTCTGCATCCGCTGGTCAGCTGGGAAAAATGACACCATGACCCCCCCCCCACACACACAAGAAGCATCAAACAGCTGACCTTGTGGCGTTTGCCCCCCCCCCAGTTGACCCAAAGCCATGTCAGTTCTGGGTGTGATGCTCTGCAAGCCTTTGAAAAGCTAGCAGGGAAACCAAGGCCAAGTCTTTGCACCGCAAACAAGCTCCCTGATCCATCTGGACCGATGCGTTTTCGGCTCCTTTCCTGCAAAACAACAGCAACATGGCTGCCCAGGCAAGAGGTATAATAGTCAGTATGGCTGTGGCTCAAAAAAACGGTACCAAAATGGAACCCTGGTACGTGGAAACCTGGACCAAAACCTGCGGTTTGCCCCTGTTCAATTTTGAGCCACACCCCTATAACCAACAGCTCCCAAGAACATAAGAAACACGTGGGTGGTCGAAATTGGGCGCCAAGGCGAATTTGAAGCCCAAATGCTTGGCCCCTGCCGCTGCAAGGGACCGTTGAAACCGTCCGGTACTTATACCTGGAGTCTCCATGACCCTCTAAAAACGGGTCAATGACCCCATTTTTTTGGGTAATGACCCCATTTTGTCAAGGGGGTGGAGTCTCCAGGTCGTGGCTTGCCGGAAAACACGGAAAAAATCGGACTGGGCGGAACTTGGCCAGACTTGACCCTGCGAACAGACACTCTTTGCTGGTCCGAGGGGAACATGAAGAAACGACACAAGGGCCTTGAAGCGCCAAAACGGTAAACGAGTTTGGGTGTTGACCAGACTAACTCACAAAAAAAAAGGAAACGGGTGCCATTGAAGAACTCTTGGCCCACAACTGGGGTCCAAACCAAACCCAGATTCTGTCTCATATTTTGGTATGTCTCGTTTTGAGTGAACCCAAGAAAAAGTGGCTAGGTCCTCCAGTAGAGAGGTTAGAATGAGGGTACCCTTTTTTCTGTAGTCTATTTTAGTAGGGGAACCCTCCCCCAAAAAAGGTCAAAAGGGCACTACTGGGGGACCTAGGTGGTTTTCCTTTTGGTTCCCCTTTAAAGCAACCCCAAAGAGGCCTGGAGACCCCAAGCCGGGCTGGGACTCGTTTGCCTGAGCCGAGCTGCCCAGATCATGGCCGTGTGCTCCGTGATCTGCTCACGCCTGGGAACGAGACCACAAACGCAGAAAGCAGAACTCTTGGCAATGCACCAAACAAGCAAGATCTCTCAGTTGTTCAGTGACCCTGAAAAAAAAGGAAACCCTTTTTGGTAATTTTTAGTGGGGCAGCCACCAAAAAAAAGGAAAAAGGGTGCTGTGGCCATGGTTCAAAACCGTTTTGGATCCCATTTTGGGGCAGGTGAATTCACCACCCATTTTAGGTGGGGATTGGCAATGGGATGTTCACTGGGGGTACGGGGTTTTGACCCATGGCCATTTACCAAACAAACAAGCTCTTTGCTCATGTCCTGCGAGGAATGGTCAGACAAAAATCCAGACCAGCTCACTACAAGAACAATGATATTTGTTTGCCACTTACCACAACTATGGACCCCTCTTTTGGTTGCACTGAAAGGACACCACAGATACTTTGCATGAACAAAATCCACTTCGCACCTGTTGGCAGGTGGTTTATCCCGGTTTTCACGCTGCCAAGGCGGAAAAACCACATCCACCTCCTGTTGGTTCTCTTTCTGGGAAAATGAATGAATGAACGAATGATGGACTTGGAAGCAAATGGCCACCCTGAAAGGTAACCAAAGTAAACCTATGGGCATCTTCCTGCGAGTTAATTTGGGAACCAATACCCGGTGCTTCCATTTACTTGCTGTAAGCAGGCAACCAGTTGTTCACCCTCTGGAGTTTTATCGAAAACCAGGAGGACTCCGTAGCCATCCTTGAAGCAACGCGATCGGCCTTCGGGTCAGGCGAGGTAACATGGTCGGTGCCTAAGGGCAACATTGCCCCGAAAGAACAACAAAAACCAGCTCGGTACAATGAAAAGCAGGTTCTCGAGCAAGGTGGCAGCTTTGCTGTCCAACTTGTGCGCAAGGTGAGGTCAGTCCAAGGATTCGATGGGTTGGTTTCCCGGAAAACTAAAACCCAGAGGATTAATTTCCTCAGAAGTTCTGAATCTTTTGGTCTATCTTGGGTAGTCACCAAATGGTATAACGGTCAGTTCCGCACCAAACAGGGCCCAACAAAAAAGCTGCGACCTGTTTCGGCCGACGCTCACCGGCTGACGTTTCAAACCGCGCCACGAGCCAAGGCACACCTGCTGCAAGTCGTTGAGGTCCAGAAAGGTAGTGCGGAGATCCATCGAAACGCTGCGGGTCTTGTCAAACCTCGGGCTGGCTTTTGCGTCGAAGGAGACGGACGATCCCGTACCACCATCCAAAAGAGGGCTCCCGAAATATGTCCCCTTCAAACATCACGCCAAGAGCAAACTCTCACTTTAAGTTGGCCACCGAAAGGTGATGTTGAAACCACCACCCGAGGGGAAATATGGAAGTTGAACCCTGCAAGACAAACAGCCCAACAAGAGCATGCTTTTTGTTCCTCGCAATTCATAGAGATCCAGGACTGGGGAAGACATGACCTATATGCAGCTTTGGTCCATGTGGAGGTGTGTGAATCTGTTTGCGGGTAGGGTTCGTACCCCTTGAGGTTGTTCTCGCTGTTTTACAGGCTTCCATTGGTGCGCTCTGGACTGCCTGGACTGCTTGGAGCGCTCTGCTTGGTTTGCGCCCGGTTCTGAGTTACCCTTTTGGGGTTGCTTCAAAGGCTGGATTTGGTAGGGTTGCTTTAATGGGTAACCTAAGGGTATATACTCGAAGGGGGTGTTTCTCAAGTTGTGCTACCCCTATCTGTTTGTTGACATGAGTTTCGCTCCCATATTGCGTTTGAAGGCAAAGTTCCCTGGCCGATAGTTCTGGTTTGACTCGTTGTATATGACGGTTCACCCAGGGGAAGACTGACTTTCAGGGTTAGGTTCAAAGGTTCCAAATCGAGTTGGAAGTTTGTTGATGCTTCAGGCGCACTGGCTCACTCTATCCTTTGCGCTTGTGCTGGCTATTGGCACTCCTTCGCTGTTCTTTCATGCGAAGGCTGCGGACAAATTGGTAGAACCAGCTCTTGTGCACTGCTAGTTTCAGTTTGTCTTGTTCCACGAGTGCCCATCATGCCGCGTTATGGGCTGGGATCTATGTCGTGTGTCTCATATTATTGAGGCTTACTGAAAATGGGCAACGGTATGCGTAATAAGGAACCCAACAAATGGTGATAATCCTTTCGGTTTTCGAACGGACCGTAAAAATGCATAACACATGATACCCTAAACAATGCAACTGTGAAACACCAACGGTGAGAAACCACCGCGAAATGCGTATCCAATCAATAAGTACACTTGGCACAGAATTGAATATTTCAACCAGGAAATGAGCATGTTTGGAGGCCCATGCAGGAAAACTGACTGCTACACGCCTCTTGTTGAAAAGGGAGCCAAGTCCCTCCAACGAACAACCTTCGCCAAAAAAATCCAGAAGTGACAGATTCAGCTTTGGGGGCCATGACCGATGCACCAAGGGAAAACGAACAGGTCAAAGGGTCGACTCACTTTCGGCAAGCTCGACGTGAGCCTAGCACTCTGTGGACTCTGTGCACCAGGCAGGCGGTGAGTGCCGCCGTAACAGCCCCTGCAGGTGCCCAGCGGGACGAAGAAATCGATTGGTTCTCAAAATGGTGGACCCGTCCAGGTGGTGTCGGTTCTGTTGATGTCCCTTCAAAACCATTCCAAAAGCCCAACAGTTGCTCCATTTTAAGAACCACCCATTTGGGTTAGCAAAGCCCCTCGTAATCATCCAAGACAATGGTACGCTTGTGAGGAACCAATGTTATGTTGGCGCCAGCTGGGTGTGTCTCAAAATAGGAGGAACCCCGAAATGGACATCGGGATTTACTGGTTTCCCTTTAAATTCCACAAAAACAAGTTTCCGAGCCTCAAACACAAACGCACTCATGTGTTTTTTTTGTGGTTGTTTTGGGCCCCAAAACTCGCCTGGTTTGGACATTGCACATATAACTCAAAAACCTGAGTGGATTGGCTCGAAAAGGTCTGACCGCTTTACGACTAAAATCGTCTTCCCCGATGTCTTAAAAGTCCAGGAACTCTGGGAGTGGGTATGCTTTCCCCCAAAGGCCATTATGCTTGAGCGGTCTCGGAAGCAAGGTGCTTCCGGGTTGGCGCGCTTTCCCTTGGACCAAACAAGTGGTCCCCCAATTGTGAGGAACTACACATGCAATGTTGGCACCATATGGGTGTGTCTCAAAATACGAGAAACCCGAAAAATAGGGTTCCTTTTGGCTTCCCTTTAAATCTGTCTGAAAAAGGAGCCCTCAAAAACACACCAACCCAGTTTCATACACCTTGCGCATTACATTGTGAAGGCTCCCCTCCAACATCCCTGCTTTGAGTCCGGGCGAGTCTTAATCGCGAGTATTACAAGCATCTCAAGCCTCAACCCCTCCAGAGTTGGAGGTATGTACCCATACGGGTGTGAATTGGAAGTGGGTCCAACCCTTTGGTGGACATCATAATTTCATGTCCACCAACCCCTTTGGAGGCGAGATTGAAGATCATAGCCATATGTCCCCATGATATGACGATGACTTAACTAGCTGTTCATATCTTCCGACTTTCAACCCCTGGTAGCAACGACCGATTCATCCCAAATGGAACCTTCTGTTCACTGTGGCCCCAAATTTTGAGACAAACGGTTTCCCTGAAGATTCTGGTCATGCTCTCGATCTGACTTTTGTGGGATTTACGTGGCCTGAGACAGCTGGGAAAAGACAACGTGTGAGGGGATGCCTATGCCGTTTGTAAGATAACCACCACCAACCAACCAACCCACCCACCCACCCGCCAACCAACCAACCAACCAACCAACCAACCAACCACAACCAAACAAGCAAGCAAGCAACCAACCAACCAAACCACCTACGCACCCATCCACCAACCCACCCACCCGCCAACCAACCAACCAACCAACCAACCAACCAAGCAACCAACCAAACCACCTACCCACCCACCAACCCACCCACCCACCCACCCACCCGCCAACCAACCAACCAACCAAACAAGCAAGCAACCAACCAAACCACCTACCCACCCACCCACCAACCCACCCACCCACCCACCCACCCACCCGCCAACCAACCAACCAACCAAGCAACCAACCAAACCACCTACCCACCCACCCACCCACCAACCCACCCACCCACCCACCCACCCGCCAACCAACCAACCAACCAACCACAACCAACCAAACCACCTACCCACCCACCCACCCACCAACCCACCCACCCACCCGCCAACCAACCAACCAACCAACCAACCAAGCAACAACCACCCAACCACCCACCCACCCGCCAACCAACCAACCAACCAACCAACCAAACCAACCAACCAACCAACCAACCACAACCAAACAAGCAAGCAAGCAACCAACCAACCAAACCACCTACGCACCCATCCACCAACCCACCCACCCGCCAACCAACCAACCAACCAACCAACCAAGCAACCAACCAAACCACCTACCCACCCACCAACCCACCCACCCACCCACCCACCCGCCAACCAACCAACCAACCAAACAAGCAAGCAACCAACCAAACCACCTACCACCCACCCACCAACCCACCCACCCACCCACCCACCACCCGCCAACCAACCAACCAACCAAGCAACCAACCAAACCACCTCCCCCACCCACCCACCCACCCACCAACCCACCCACCCACCCACCCACCCACCCACCCACCCGCCAACCAACCAACCAACCAACCAACCAACCAACCAACCAACCAACCAACCAAACCACCTACCCACCCACCCACCCACCAACCAAACCCACAAGTCCGACGTGTTGCCAGCACCGGGTCCCGTCCAACGCCGGAGACTCTCCGCGAGTCGCTCCGGCCTCATCACCAGCACGTGGCTGCTCGGCCGCAGGAGCTCCAGGGCGAGTGCAGTGGCAGCCATCCCTGGGCGCGGGTCCCTTTCACAGCGGCTGCTTGTGTGGGGAGAGGGGCGAGTCAGGAAACAAAGTCAAGAAAACAGGCTGGGTCGTGTCAGGAAACGGGTTGGTCCAAGTCAGGAAACGGATGGGTCCAAGTCGGAGCATGCACATATATGGCTGTGGGTCAAAAATAGGTACCCATTTTGGGAACCCTGGTAAATGGAGGTAAATGGAAATATGGACTAAAACCCGCGGGTCCGATCCCTGGTGGTTTAATTTTGACCCATACCCATATGGCCATGGGTCGAAACCCCGTACCCCCAGTGAACATCCCAATCCCCACTAAAATAGGTCCTAAACTGGGTGGTGCACCAATCCCCCAAAATGGTACCCTGGGTTTTGACCCAGAGCCATACATGTATAACTGTATAATACAACAAACAAACACACACACACACACACAAACAGAGTTGGGGTTAAACAAACAACAATCCGAATCCACACCCAATGGTTTCTCCTGAATTAATGAAACAAACAATGAGAGCTTTAATTCTGGGTTGACCATAGTGGGGGGCAACAAAACGCACAAGTTACACCAGGTGCGCCGAGGAAGTTCGACTACCGACTTCTGCAGTTCCGTCTATGGCCACGCTTCGGTAGAGAAACCCAACGGAATCCAACTACGGACCCTCCAATCATGGAAGCTGACGATCGGGTTTTGGAAGATTCCTGGCCCTTCAAGGAACCCACTTCCATGATTCTTGGAAGGGTGCTAGGCCTCCAAATCCGAATTTGACAAAGACACGAAGGGCTGCGCCAAAGGGCTGACAAGAGAAGAGTAGAATACTGGAATCTCAACAGGCAAACAAACGGACCCGCTCTGCCGACGCCAGAGTTATTCCCGTGTGGTTTGGCCTTTGCCCTAAAATTGAGGACATGTTGTTTGTGTTGTATTCTTCGGGCAAGGGGGCCAACAATTCTCCCGCCAAACACTGAAGTGCACAATGCATCCTAACTTTGATAGAGATGGGTTCATTCACCCATCACGGCATGGGACACCCTTCGCGAAAGGACCTCCCCCAGCCCTCTTTCGAGGGTACATGCCTCCGACCGAGGGAGAAAAAACTCCATGCCAGGGCCCAACCCTTTTGGTTTAGGCGATGTCCTGGTTCTGTCCCCCTTTAAGATATGTGCTCTTGGGATGAACCGCTTTCGGTCTACCAAGACAACCGCGCTTGGGTACAGTGTCAACCTTGGAACCCCACAAAATATGGGTGGTGCTCCTTTTGGTCTCCCTGTAAACCAAGGTAAAGAGCTGCTTTTGGGGCCCCCAGCAGGGAAACGCCGCGCACCTAGTTGCACTGAGCGAGTCGCAAAGACATCCCGCGGCTCGGCCAAGCCATCCTGCCTGAAGCGGTGGCGGTGGCCCAAATGCCTCCCTCGAGCTCCGCGATGGCGGTCTCATAGGCATACCTGCCAAAGGGCTCGCTCTCTCAGATCTGAGAAAACCCAAATGGGTGGCCCTGGTAAATGGAAACATGGACTAAAACCTGCGGGTCCGATCCCTGGTTTAATTTTGACCCATACCCAAATGGCCATGGTAGGCTTGAGCCGTCGGTCTTGCGAGGCGAAGGCTACCCTTCTTGGTTTGAAAGGGAAGCCAAAACGAAAACCCTACTCCATTAGGGTCCCCGGAAGCAAGACACCCAATGAGTTTTAATCGGTCTGGTGGACATGATGGGGGCTTGTGCTCACCCACCGGTTTTTTGCGGGCGTTCCAACTATCGACATTCATAGCCAAATCGGCTGCAACCAAGGTGTCATAGGGCTTTGGACCCCAAAAGCTTGGTGTCCCTTTGGTTGACCTCTAAAGTCACGCCAAAAAGGGTCCCCCCCAAAAAAATAGCGGGGACCCCGTCGATGACTGGTTGGTCAGGGTCTGAAACCAAACCGATGGAGGCTTCGAGGGAAAGGACACTGACTTGTTTGCAAGTGGGTCAGAATCAACATCGATGGGTATTAAAATGAACCCAGAATCATGTAAAGAACTAAAAAGGCGACGAAGGCATCCATTTATTGTTGGGATTGTCCCTTACTACCCGTCAGGGTCGATGATGAAGAGGCCTCGCAGCGCGACACCCCCCCCCCTTCAACTGCCTGGGTTTTGATTATGGCTCAGATGATTGTTTGAAGAACTTGTTTCACAAAGGGGTTTGTCTCCAAACAGGGGAACCCCTTGTTGAACCCCTGAAACAAAAACAACTGTGTTTCTTTCCCCATGTCTAGCAGCCTACCAAATCCTTCAGACCAGTGGTCATGGGCCAAAACGAATTGACCCTCTTCTTCCAAGGTAGTTGACCTAACAGGGAACACCGTCCAACAACAAGGGAAACCAGCAACACGAGTCGGACATGCTGCATCTGCCCAACGCATCTTGCACAGCCAAAGAGGCAGGCACATCCCACTTCACCTCCACCAACGGATGCGCACCTTACAGTAACCACCAAGAAACACACAAACCTAGCTGAAAGGGTGATGCCGAAAACGGAACGACTTAGGCCGTTTGTGGACATGACCCAAAGGCGAGACAAGAAGAAGAAGAAAACACGTCCGATCGAGTGAAAAGTATGCAGTCTGCCACTAAAATGTGTTCACAAGAAGTATCTCAAGTCCAGGGCATAGGTGACCTTCTGGGGAAAAAATATCGATGGGTTACCCTGGTAGCCTCGCAATAAACCAAATCATGTCACCAGGACCCGAATCTATTTCAAAAGTTGAGAATCCAGGAACTCACCAAGTGGCGCCTCAAGTGATCTGTTGTCGAGACCGCTGTGACCCATCCCGACTGAACCAAGCGGATTGGTAAAAAGGACTCGGAGTCAGACTGAGTTCCAAACGGCATCCGGCAACTCCCTTCAAGGCCGCAAGGGCACCTCTGAGCAACCTCCGATTTCCTGTTCTCAGCTCCTCCGCTAAAAGCTTAACTTTTAGTGGGAGAAATGGAAACTCCTCCACTACAAACCAAAAAGCCAAACACCTACGAAAGCGGATGGCTGGGAACCACCAAGTCTTGGATTGTTTGTTGGTGCAAGGACTCCTGCCCCCCTTTTGGCCAGCTCTTTGCCGAGCCTGGTGGGATTCCCGCAGCGGGAGTACGCAAAGCGGCCCTCCTGCCCGGTGCCAGTAGGAAGGCGCTTTATCCCAAGTACTCATAGGGCTTCACGCATCTCTGCGAAACGGATTCTGCTATGTCTCTAGCTCGTAAGCCATGGATAGGTTCCGGATTCTACTTGCCATGCCCGGAAAGCACTGCCTGCAAAATATCGTTGTCAAATGGCATGGCATGGGATCGGCAACAGGAGATGCCAAGGAACAAGAACAACCGGAAGCAAACAGAGAAGGCGAGGAACTGGAGTCTCCCTCTGACACTGAAAAAACATGCAGCCACCTACCCAAAAGATGTCATGACCCCATTTTTAAAGGGCCTCGAGAATCGAAAACTCTCAATGGCCATTTCTTGCAGCAATCTGATTTTTAGCTCGAGCCGATGCGAAACCCGGCGCTTGCCACAGGAATCAGGAATGTGTTGTGATGAAACTTCCTCGGGTCAAATCCCAGAACCAGACCGGGTCCCAGTGGATTTCGATCTCCAGCGAGACAGCGCTCTTACCTGAAGTCAATCAGTCTAAAATATGTGAGCCCGAAACAGGAAGCCGAAGCTGTCCGAAAGCTTTCCAAGGACTTTTCGGACATTCTAACAAAGGTCTGGGAACAAACGGACATTGAGACCAAGAAAAAGACCAAGCCGCACCCGACTCGGGGTTCGCCTAGGACCTAGGCCGTTCGGGTGACTCAACCGGCTGTGTCGAATTTGTTATTCGGTATTCTCCCTTCGGAAGCACCAGAAAGGATTGGCAGAGAGGCTACCAAACCATTGATACGTCCGACTCGGTGGGTCCTCCCCTGTGGACGTTTGTCCGCGGCTTTGCTTTTTGTAGTGATTGTAGTGGAAGAGAACCTAACGTTCCATTTTGGGTGCCCATAATTTGACCCTCAGCCAACTGAGCAGCAACCAAAACCCATTGACTTCTGGCTCTGCCAACATGTGTACCCTCTTTGATTGGTGTTTATAGAGGGCAAGTTCAAGGAAAACCTGAAGAAGGTCCCCTCAAAAACTCACTTCCCGTGTTTTACTTGCCCAAAGAACACGTCCAAACTTCTCCTTTGCCCTACGAAAATTGTCCAATCCCAACAAGTTTCGAGTGGAACTCAGGGAGCGTTTAAACACACACAAAAAAAAACACGAGTGGATTGCCAAAGAACACGCCCAAGTTCCTCGTTTGCCGTACTCAATCCCCACAAGCTTCCCGCCGGGGAGCGAGCCAGCCGCACCCCTTGGCCCCGAAGCGCGGACCGCGGACCGCTCCTCGCCCAGGTTGGGCTGCACGAAGCTGGTGGCCGTGGTGATGGGCGGGAAGATGGCCCCATGGCCTCGTCGCTTACGCGAAAACCCCACGAGGACGCGTCGTGCGGGAACACCCCGCGCTGTTTGGGGCCCTGGCGCGCTGCTCTCTTCCGGCGCTTCCGGCTTTTTTTTTGCTGGTGGCAGGGGAAAAAGAAGGGAAAAAATAGCGACCAATCCGGATTCTGTGTGGATTTGATGTTTTTTCTTGGGAGAGGTAATCCTGAGAAAGAAGAGGAGCCAACCATTTGCTGTCATAAAGACCATATTTCCTGGCTTCTTTGAGGCCAGTTTGTTGCAAGGGTGTCGACCCACTTGATGGTCCTAACCCAACCTCATGTCCGGCTTCAACAAGCACTCGCTGCTTTGTTGCACTTTAAACATCATCCACCTGATGCTTATTTGTTCGGTCCAACTCTCTTAAAACCGCCAAGCCCGTTCGGCAGAAAGGCGGATCTATGCCTGCTATGTTGTTTGATTCCATGCTTTGTGGCAACCTAACTGGGTTCCCAAGGTGGATGAACGGCTTGGGCGGTGATCAACGATGAAGCACGCAAGTGAATTCAAACACACTGTCTTCGGAAATGCCCGAGGAATTGGAGGGGGGGTCTTCGCCAGAGGCTTGTTCACGCTGATCCTCAGTGCATCGAAGAAGGTCTTGGAATGGAAGAGGGTGTATCTTTTGTCAGTGGACCCTCCAAAATGGTCATTTCCGTTTTGGTGATCCCTTAAAACCAACCAAATAGGGGCTCCCGAACAAAAAGAAACAAAGAAAAACCACCCCCAGAGTCGATCAAACCGCCTCTTTTTATCCCGAAAGTCAGCCCCTTCGGGCAGCCTTGGAAGGGCCCTTGAAACGTGTTGGCCACCGTCTTGGCATCTTAAGCGGATTGGCCAAATCGGGCTTCTATGCGTTGTTCCCCAAAATGGTCCAAAGCAATTGAAGTACCAAGTCCAGAACCTCTTGCGCCTGTCAAGTTTCTCTGGCCGCGCCGAAAAAAACATACTTAAATCCGGCAACTGGTTAATTACTCTCCTGCAGGTTTTGTAGAGGCATCTTGTTTTGGGGGACCACCAAGTTGGGGGTTCCTTCCGCTACTTTTTGTAGAGGTCAGCGCACAGGTTCGATCCGCGCGGCCTGGGTCGTGCTGGTCACCCCCGTGCACCGCCAAGGTCTCGATCTTGGTGCTCTTACGAGCCTCGCTGGGCTTAGGGTCTGAGAGCCTGCGTGCCAACATCCAATAATTTGGGGTCCCCAAGCACTGCGCACATAAATTCCCATTCACCAATATGCTTGTTCCCCAAAGCTAGCCCAGCGATAGCCCAGTGAGAATTTGACCCTTAGGCTTGCCGGCTGCTCAAAACTCTGCGCAGGCCATGCCACGCCTGACCGCTTGACGGCTTACCACAGGGGTCCTTACGGCTGCTGCGAGGGGAACGAGGGAAGCCCGTTCTCGGGAAGAGGGAATGAGATATACGAAGTGAGCCATCCCACTGGTGGTTTCCCCAAAGGGACTCCAATCGGTATCCCAAAGTCCCTCACAGCAAGTTAAATCTTCCCACAAACGCCGCACCTGGAGCTTCAATTTCCCCCCCCAACGCTTGAAATGAACTACCAAGAAAGGAACCACATGGGGCCGATTTCAAATTGGCCCGCAAGCCCAAACCGAATGAGCTCAATCGCGTGCATTCCGGATAGCTGTAACTTGTCCCAAATCCGGGCATACGCAAACATATTGTCTGGGATTCAGATTCATACTCTCGTGGCAAATCGCCGAACGAGCACGGGGAAAAACATGTTTTTTGCTGTATGGACTCCCAATCCAATCCCAGTTGAGAGATCGAGGATCTCGAACAAATACCAACTGCCTGTTGGGCGTGCACCCGTCAGTGAATTGTTTGCACATCCTCTTGTTGATAATTTGTTAGCCTTACATGGCTTTGTTCAAACACAAATCACCTCGACCAGACTGTGACCCCCGAGTCAACCTTTTGCTCCCCGCATCCTGTTCGGCAACATTGCCAGACATGGATGAACACTTTCTGCTAAAGCAACATTCGTTTGAAAACCAAAGCGAAAAGCAACCCCAGTACCCTTAGCGTCCCAGGAAATACGCAGACTATGTCTGGCAACGGCAAATCGCCTTTGCTCCGGCTAATCACCTGCCCCTTGGGTAAAAGCGGCACATTGAAGAAGCCGGTATGTCCTTGGGGGGGTCTCCGTTCAGGTTGGTAAGGAAAAAACAAAAGGAATCTGTTGAAATGAACAAAAAACAATCCCAGTTTTTAATAGCCCATACCATTCCATGCTCATGCCGCAAGCAGCCCAAGTTTAGGCGGGCCTCAATGTAGCTAGATAGTCCGACACTCGCCTAGTAGCGTGTTCTCCAAAGACTATTCCATCCCAGCGTTTCAAGGCCCTTCCCGTGACTGGGAAAAACCCTGCTATATCAGAGGCAAAGCATTTCAAATAACCTTGCAGCCCCTAGATACTCCGGGTATCAAGAACTAAGACATCCAGAAGCCTGTGCCAAGTCCCTACCAACGCCAAGGAACACTTGGAAAGCCCGCCACATACCGAGGCCAGCCCCAAAAACGCCTTCTTGTTCGCAGACATCTCATCCGACAGCACGAGGATGCGTCGCGTGTGTGGAAGCGGTCGCAGCTATTTTGCTTGAACTCATTTTCCAGTGTGCTAGCACTGAGCTGAGAAATCCACTGAGTGAGGAAATAGCTTGGGGACGCGCCACAACAATCTGTGCCACCTTTGAATAACAGGTATTACTCTATATACGGCCGGAAAGGGCTTGTCTTGTTGGGACAAACTTATAACTCTTCCAAGCGGCGAGCCATCCAAACATCACTACGGGTGTGTCTGTTCCGCCATTTGCCCAAGCCCCCTGGAGAAAAAAACAAAAACTATATGTCCAGCAGTGATCGATTCCCGTTGAAACCAACAGAGCAACATAAAAACAACTATTCTTAACCAAATGACATGTGTTGCTTTTGTGGGCATCCTCTTTTCCTTGGAGCAACTCTGAGTCAAAGTCTGGGGCCTGCAGTGCCATCGCTCAACCTCCTTTAGAGTAGGAACATGGACGAGGGCCTCAGAAACGGCTCAAAGGGCACAAGGGAAACCCAAGATATCAGATCCTTCCTGGATTTACCCTAGCGATTTGAGTTTGGCAAACCAAGCCCCACAACCAACCCATGTTGTGTTGCCACCATGTCTGGCATGCGCCCTGCACTTCCGCCGTTTGAAAGCCTCGAAACCGCGCGAGCAAGCGACCAGAGATGAGCTGTCACGTATCCGACAAGCTGACAAAAACTGATGCCCTCCCACGAATCTGACACCCGCCTGCCTGCTAGAAGACTCATATTTCTGCTTCAAGTCACAAGCAAGCTCAGGGCCCAAGCAAGTCACTGGCTCACGAGGCTGAAAAAGACAAACTTGTTGCACCCAGGCGCCACATACATGGGTATGTCTTTGTTGAGGGTGCCCTTTTTCAATGTGTTCAAAGGAAAACCAAAAGGACAACCTGAAAAAAGACGTGCCCACATAAAAAAGACAACTCTCTACCGTTGGTCCTTCACAAGTCAACCCAAACTGACACAACTCAGGCGTTCCAAATTGAGGCCAACTTCCGGAAACGACAGGGTCCAAATATGGCCAGGGTCCAATTAAATTCCGTTCAATTTGGCTGACTCCAGGAGTTGGCACAGATTTTTAGGGTTTTTCTTGGATACGGGTGTCGCTTCCGTTCCTCCTTTACACAAGCCGCAAGCCTAAAAAGAGTACGCTGCAAAAAGCAGCAAAACAAATCAACAAACGTACAAACCAACAACAAAAAAACGCCAAACAAACAAACAAACAAGAAAGCAATCAATCAATCAAACAAACAAACAAACAAACAAACAAACAAGCAAACAAACAATCAAACAAACAAACAAGCAAACACACGCGCGCACACACACACATACACACGCACATACCAATGGCGCATTCAATTTCGTTCCCTCCCACGAGTCCCAAGCGAGGCCCAGAGAGTAGGTTAGGGACTTCTGCACGATCTTCTTCCGCGAAATAACCCAGGCCTACGCAGCGGCCCCTCTGGGGGAAAAAAAAGTCGAGGGGGGTACTACACAAAGCCCCTGTTTGGCGGTTTCAAACTTTGCGGCCCATTGAACATGAGCTTCGTTTGCTGTTGCCGGAAACATACAAGACAAGCCTGGATTGCCGAAATGATCCAAGCCAATCCGGGTCGGAAGACACCCTATTTTTGTTCCCTCTGAATGCTGGTTGTCTGAAAAGCCCTCAGACATGTGCATGTTCGTGGGAGTCTGAGAGTGCAAAAGGAAACCATCACCACGTTTAGGGAGCGGGAGATACGTGCCAAGGCCTACGAAGGACCTGGATTGTATGAACATACATAGGCTGCATAGGCTTGTTCAAAAGGAAACTCTCCAACCCTTGATATGGTGGCAAAACACTCTTTGTGCAGCCTCTACTACAAATGAACAGAACCAACAAACACAAAAAACAACAACTAAAACATGCCAACGACAATGAAGGAAAGGACCCCTTTACCTTTCGGCAAAGTCACAAAGGGACAGCAATTCGTTGGCATTTGGTCCTAACCTGTTGTTCCGGAGCTGAATACATGGTCCGGAAAAGACCACGGCCCTTGGGAAAAACTAAACATGATGGTCTTTACACACCGGGCCCAACTGCAACCCCAGGGAGTTACTGGCACTGCGCCTTTCGAGTGTCTCTCGGGTTCCGTGCAGCCCAGCTTTAGGAACATCGCCAAACCAAGCTCCACATCAAAAGCAAAGTTGCACATCCCGGGCTTTTCCGCCGTCGGAATGATTTGCAGGACATTGCCGTCAGGGTCCTTTTATGGCTCTTGTTGAAGGGTGGGGCTCTGAAGAGGGTTCAATATATATCTGGGGCATGGGTCTAAATGATTTGCTTGAACAAGATCATGAATGGCTCCAAGGCCCCAGAAATGTCAACTCAGCCGAACAGGTTGCCACAATTTGAGTTGAAAGGTGGTCGGTTGGACCTTCGGGAAGCAAATCTCTTCGACATTCCCCTTTGTTGGCTTCACCTGGTTGCCCGATCGGCATGCCCACGTGAACAAATGAGTGCCGAAATGGTCTGGGATTTCAACAGCCCCAAAAAGGAGGTACCCTCAAAATCAGACGCACCCCCTGAACATGTCCACTGTACTGGGCCCAGTTTAAGCCCTTCAGCCAGTGATTTGAGACATGGGCGCCTGCTTTTGGGAACTGATCTTAAAGGGACACCCCTTTGAAGGGACAAAGACAGAGCACTGGTGGCCTCAAAAACTCACACTACCCCTGGGAGGTAAGTGGATTGGCCAAACTCATCAATCTGGTTGTTTGCCACTAGAATGGTCTCAAAGAGTTTACACAGTTCATGGTTCATGAACATCAGGGAGTGAGAAAAACCAGGGAACCACCACGCTACATGTCCCCCTCTCGGCACATGTCTGGGACCCGGCTTAGACAAACATGGCTCCGCCCGATGCTTTCCAAGCACACGGCCTGCTCTTCTCGGGGGTCTACCTCAGAAACTCCACAGCCCCTGGACGAGCCCGGACGTCTTTTACCAGCTGAGTGGCGGGTACATGGGGGTACGGTCCGAATGGGGTTGGGGGCCTGGAAGATGGTGCAGACACCTGCCAACTGTAATTTCAAAGCTTGCCAACTTGACGGGAAAAATCGCAAGGAGCGCGTGCTTGACGCTTTGAAAAAAGAAGCCAACGTAAAGCGCATGTTGGGTCGGCCAGCTTTGGGGAACACCCCCCCCATTCCATCCAGTACGCTGGTGATATTGAAAGTGACCCACAGTCATTATGCACGACAATCTTGCCCAGAAACCGCGTCAAAAACCCTCAGACCAGGGACCTTTGGCTTGCTTTCCTTGACGATCCAAGAGACAACTTGCTGGGGGTCAGTACGCAATAATCCCGGGCTCGGGAATCAACAGTTTTGGGATTCCCTCAAGGGAAAGGGGATGATTTTGAGGGCTCCTTCCAATTCTCCTTCCCTGCCTATTGCACCAGGTTCAAGTGCCGAAACCTGCAAAACAAGCCCTCCGCCTCAGGCCCGGACAGGGCCGATGTACATGTCATGGCGCCTCAGCACGTGATCTCGCTGCTTGAGGAGCTTGTACCTCCGCAAGGCTGTGACCTTCCAACGCCTCGGGGATCGCTTTCCGTTGCCAGAAGCTCTGATTTTTCAGGACGCGTCGCAGGCGACCAAAAGGGCGGACCACGTGGCCGCCGATTTTTTGTTTTATGGAATTCGATGAGGTGATCAACGTGCTGCATGGGCGGCAATCCGAGACGCGCTTGGTTTGCGATGGGGTTGGTTTCGGGCTTCCGGCTTTAGGCTGGGGCCACGCTGCGAAACTTTCGCACAAATCCGGTGAGCCCCAAACTCGGATCGAGCGCAGGAATGGAAGCTGCCAGTCTGACGACCAGCCGATGTCGGCGAAGACCACAGAAAGCCAGGTAAGACTGTTTCCCATACAGAGGCCCGTGACTAAAGGGGTCTTTCAAAGGCCGGCATAAGTGCAATTCACAGGGAGAAAAACAGGAAACGGGGCCCGGTTCCCCCATGTCCCCTGGCCCTCGCCTCCCCCAAATAAGCTCAGGTGATATCCCCAACAGCATGCGGTGCTCTTTTTAGAACCTCGTGGAAATTTCGTGGAACCTTCGTGGAACCTTACCTCAGGGCCGCCACGGACCACCCCGGAGCCTATCTGGGCTGAGACCCCAATTCAGCTGTTGGGGAAAAAACCAGACCCATTTACTTCAGCCGGGTCCGGTTCAACTTCGGCCGACCCTTTGGGGCACACTTCTGTCCGCTCCGGAGCGCCCTGGGAGGCTGGGCGTCGAGGCATTTCCAATGGGGAGAGCTGACCGTCTGGCGGACATCATTTAGATAGGTCCTCCAGTAGGAGGTTGGAATAAGGGTACCTGATTCTTTTTCTGTAGTCTATTTTAGTAGGGGAACCCTCCCCAAAAGAAGGGTAAAAGGGCACTACTGGGGACCTAGACATGATCCACCTGCCACTTGTGAGGTGTTTCCCCCAACTGCATGGGTGCTTCCTTGCATTACCCTCTCAAAAACAACATGGGGCACAGGAACCGCTCCCCCTTTAAGAGAGGCTCACTTCAAGTCGTTTTTGTTTGTTTGACTGGGGCTTCTCATTCTATTGACCCAGCAATAAAGGCAAAAGACAAAAGTGCCCTTCGCTTCGGACTTGCCCAACACACACATGTTGCACGTGCCTTTCAAATCACGGCGCATGTATAAGCACCAAGGAACAGCACGCACGCACGCACACACACACACACACTGACACACGCAAACAAACAAACAAACAAACAAACAAACAAACAAACCAACGAACAAACAAACGAACGAACGAACAAACCACAACAAACACGCATCAAAAACAACGACAACTATGCCCAGACACTCCATGTAGGGCATAATTAGTCACATTCCCTTCCGAATGTGCGAAACATGTGTCTATTGTTGAAAAATTACCTTTTTATACAAAATCTACATCTAGGTTCT